ATGTTCATCAGTGCGTCTTATATTTAGAAAGAAGGGAGAAACAGCCCATTCGCCTCCAATTTCAACTCTTAGCCATACCTGAAACATCTTGAACCACTGACTCGGATGGTTTTTCAGGCTTCACATACGGATTCGCGATGCATCAACAAATGCGAACCCTATACAGGCATCCTCCAACCCAGGGCGTCGCTTCGTAATCGAATCACTCAACCGCTTTTCCCACCCAGTACCAGGTCTAGCGAACTATGAAAGTTAAGAGAACTACGTCCACGTCCAATCCACCGAAACCAATGTCCGAAGATGACAACACTTATTAAAGACTAACTCCACTTTGTTGTTGTATCTAAGAGCTGCTTACTCAGTGATGCCACCAGAAATAGCAGTGGTCAGGTTTCACAGATATAGAGCGAGAGTGTACAAAGTGAAGCATTGTGAGCCCTATCTTTGACAGTCGCACTAACATTGCAACGGTGCATTCATGTAAGGATCTTATTATTGTACGTGCTATCTGCTAGAACGCACCAACGGGCACTAAGACCTTACAAGGATATCTTGGAGACCTAATTTTTCTAAGTAACAAACAACCTCGCTAGTCATTTTTACATCTTTTTCTAAGTGTAACAAGTGTGGGTTCGTGGTCTCTGGAAGGTCAATAGCTAGCTCAGTGCCTACCGTGGACCGATATTTGAGTTCAGGAGCAGGTCAACCAGTTTACGTTTATAATCACCACACAATTAGGAATGACTTGAATCAAGAAAGATAGTCTTGTATGCACCCATGCCATCAGTAGCTGATAGTAATATGATCAATTCGAGTGCATGCTTAAGTGACCAAGAGATATCGCTAGACAGTGATGGAAGTTGGTTTTGATAAGAAATAATTTATCATCTGTGCAGAGATAAAGAACACAGCCTTCATAATCTGACTTGCAGCCATCATGTTGGCAATGACCACCTAAATGAATCTCTTCTGAATCTCGACGCCAACCTATGCATACAGCTCCCCAGTAGGCATAAAGATATCTTTCCAACGTGCTCGTATGAGCTCACTGGGTTGGTGGTGGTACTCCTACTTAACTACATCCGAGCTGCACTCTAATAGTGCCTAGGTAGAGCTAATGGAAAGACAACACTTTTCTGGACTGTCACCTATTACTCCAATATAGCCTTCAAGTCTATTATAGAATAAACAACTGTGAACTAGAACCCAATCGAGTGATGCAGTTTCAGCTCTAGAGTTGAGTGTGATGCACTATCTACGCCGGACACTGATACCATATGGTCCCCAAATAAACACACATGAAACATACTCTCTGGGCTTACAGATGAAGAAATTATTTAACTCACATCACTGGGATCTTGTATGTGGATCTCTGGGAGGTAGCATACATTAATAGCAAGGCTTCCAGGGTTCTGGAGAGACCTACCTAATTCATGATTTGCACGTATGTGCGATCGTCATAAGTGGCAACCTTAAACGCAACACGCAGTGTCAGATATCGTACTCGATGCAAGATTTCTGAAAGTAACTAACTAGAAACTCAAAATGAGATAGATTTCGGAGATAAGATATTTTTCAAATAGTAGCGACGGTAGTACAAAAACAGTTTATGCACGCAAACATGTAATGAAAATCGATCAAACGAGTGAAGTTGTCTGCGATAGAATACAGACTGTTTTGATTTTGCATTAACTTATTCCATGTTTTGCGTGGGAGCTGAGATACTACCCAGATGCCAGATCAGCAGAACACCAGAATTCCCGTTCATAGTTTGCCATGGGCCATTCGTTCCTTGAAGATCCTGAATCCGACAGCCACCATCGGTTAGGGATCACGGTTTTAAACTTAGGTAGGTCGGTGCTAAACGTCTACCAGCCCTCTGATGAGCATTATACATTCTCATTCGTTGTACCAACTTTGTAAGAAATTCAATGGTTTCTGAACCTAGTGAATAGGACTTGCTTCGTAGAAGCTAAAAGCGCGTGGCCACATGAAAGCATTTTGTGCGGAAGACAGGAGTGTACTCACCCTCGACTGCAATAAGTCATTTGCGAGGGTGAACACCAACCAAATACACGCAGATTCGTGCACAGGGTGTTTATGTTAGTATATTCACCCAGAAGAACAATACTCTCTGAATGAGACTTAGTTTTCAGAGAAAAACGGGAAAAAGTTTCAGAAAACCAAGTTGTCACTCCATATAACACAAATGTAGGTAAAAATTCAAGGGAAGCATAATAAACGGAAATACTAGGCAGAATTAATAAGTACATGGAGAAGAATGAGTATTTAACGGATCTAGGAAACTACAAAGAATAAATAATCCTGAGTCACTGAGATCGATTTCAAGCCAATTGTTAAACTACTAATTTTTAGCATCTCGACGATCTTAAGTGGCTCAAGTCAAGAGTCAAACACTTTATGGGTTGATGCCAAATTTCTACTTGAACACCCCTCACTGTTCAGTAACCTAATCCAATGTCAGCTAACGTAGATTGACGCGAAAGGTGGTAGTTGGGCACACTTAACGCAGGTCCTAGCCATCTCAACAAGTGTGGCCCACAAATTCTCCTCCGTACCTAACACTACACCTTACCTCAACTTAACTCACCATATAATAACTCTTAACAAGAGAGGTAGAACACGAACACCTATGGTCAAAGTCGGCTAGTTTTCTTTCAACGATGGCGTCTAATAGCCCTAAAAAGGAGCAGAGAGAACTAATGTACAGTACACACATGTTTTTTTTGACTGAGCACTGGGTGACTCTTGTCAAACATCTAGCCATTTGTTTGGTGCAGACTGAATTCTAACAGTCAAGTTTGCAATGTGACCAACATGATAGGCAGGCCGTCATCACGATTGTTGCTATTAGATGGTTGGAGGCAGTCGAAAGGAAGCACTAGACTTAGGTTTCGTGCTCATCAGCAAGAAGCATCTGAAGGTATGATCAATACACTCTCGATAATGCCTAAAACCTATATAGCTTTCATGGGTTTGTTTCTGTCAAGAACCGCTGATTCTACGGATAATTAACAGACCTCAAATTTTAGATACCACGTTAGTCAAGCGAGTCTTGAGATGTTTATCCCACTTCTCACAAACTGGGGTAATCAATTATTTACAACAGTTCAGCAGGACTGTTTCAGAGTCTCACACATCACGTAGCATCTTAGTAGTCATTGTAAGCATCCCTCAACACCCTTGGAGTTATTCAGTCAGGTTCCGTTGCTTTGCCTAATTTTAGATCAAAGACCGTTGGAGGACATATCTTGCAGCTAGATGCCGGCTGTGGGCCAGTTGAATTGGTTCTCAGGGTGCTCCTACCAACGTTTCGGTCATCTATCCTGAGAAGTAATTAAAATACCATTCTCAGAGATCGTTCCACATATCACTGGTTGTGGACAACCTGTCCATTCAATGAACTTAGTTGCCTAGTATTATTTACCACCGGTGCCTTTCCATGCTTTTGTCACCAACCACTGTTCACGGTGATTACAGAGATCTTCGGTCAACCTACATTTAGGCATCTTCGTCCCCCATCATGTTCGGAGCCCACTGGAATTGATCTTCTTGAATCTGCCAGTTAGGATGCCGTAGCAGATATCCACTGGCATTCGCTAATCTTTGGATTCAGCCTATCTACAGCATTTTGCCAGTTTCTACGGATGACTGAATACTATTCCAGGCTCCTGCAGGATGGGTATCACTATCAATCTCAGACACGCGTTTAGTTATGGGGTGTGGGACGTTGAACTGCTGCGCTTCGGTGATACGTTCTACGTTAAAAACTCACTCGGTCATATGATTTCTAGCCTGTGGTAAACCTTTAACATCCAAAGTAACCGCCTATTATCCTAGGTTATTTGGAAGACTTACTAATTGTAGAGACATAGATTAACATTCATACTGGGTGATTTAACTGCGATAACAGATTAATAATCTAAGTATTATTACTGTCACTGTATTTCCTATAGTATACTAATCTAATGTGGAACCACATTGCAAAAATCCTGCTCTTACAACAACTTTCACTTTCATCTGGTCTAAAATATAATATCTACACATAGTCTGACAAGCATTCAATAAAAATAAGTAGATGGTCAAACGAAGTGTCATCGATGAAATAGTAGATATATTTCACCTTTAGTTTATTCTACTTACTCATAAGTAGCTTAGTTCGTGTCAATAAAATATTCTTAACTGTTAAACGCTCGACACCAGTTACCCATCAAAAACGTCGAAAGTTAATATGAGATTCCAGAATATTTGATTGTCAGTTGGAATACTAAACCGTCAATGTGCTTCTGCTGAGCATTTTCTTTGTATGCATTACAAACAAACATAAAACTATACTAAGCAAAGGCTGGGAACTATTGGTGATACGGCTCAAATTCCATTCTCAATGGCGCAGATGCACATATCTATATTCACTAAACCCTCATCTTTTCCTATGTTACTATTCATTCTCCTGTATATTTCTGTTCATTATATTGCTTTCGAATCTATCTCAAGAAGTTCGGAAGTGATAAACTATCTTACTAGAAACACTAGTTGGTGTAGGCCATAAACCAGGCAATTAGAAACGCTCAGATTTCGTATACTGATAGCATGAAAGTACATCATTAAAAAAAGTCATCATTTGAGAAAGCATTTCATATCTATGGTTAGCTTGATCAGGCAATTATCCACATGATGCCATCATGTTTCATAAACTACATTATGGCTCACAACTGATGTTGAAAAACTCAGTCACCCAGACGCCAACACACGGCGTACAGTTTGAAATCAACATGCATTAATTGAGAGTGAAGTTTCCTATTCAGTAAGAGACATTTACCGCAGTGCTCAATTGAAGCGCATCTTCTTTACAATGTAGCAGCTAAACGTGCAAAAAGAATACAGTAATCTAAAGAAATCTACCAATACCGGAATACAAATAAGCAAACTTGTCAACATTTTTATTTCAAGAAAATAGTCTCACTATTTATATGTACAATTCAAAAGGTAGAATTGTTCAACATATGTATTTTCTTTTTCTTCTTAACAGAATTCAAGCTTTTATCAGCCAAAACTACACTTGATTCGGAAGCTGATCGTTTACGCCCTGATGGTAACTTTTTAGGCGCGGTTTCTATAAGGCTTCCATTCATAGATCGATCTGCACCAGCCGACTCCGAATTGTGTCGTTTCTTCTTCTTCTTCTTTTTTGCAACGCCTTTGCTTTCTGCATCATTCAGTTCACCATTCATATGAGTGGACAATTCATGAACTTCATTAACTTTTTCCTCTGCTGTCTCGTGATCACCAGTACCGTCAGTTATTGTCTCGCGTTTTTTCTTCTTCTTTTTCTTACCCTCAGTTCCAGTCACTTCTTCAGTCTCTTCTTGACTATCTGAATCTCTTTTGTTTAGTGTTTTGATTGCTTTTTTCTTCATCCTGAGAATATATTTATTAACCTTTCAAAAAATGAAAATACAGCGCTTGTTTAGAAACAGATATTAGACATTATGTAAATACATTATTGGATGCAATAATCCCATCATCAGCTTCTAACATTGATTGATCGATCACTTAGATCATTTAGAGAACTTACTGGTAAATTAATCGGTTGCATAAAACAGAAACAGTCATTCGTAACTTATTCACTTTGTCTATTCACCGATTCTCACAAATGGAAAAAGCAATTGTTCCTACCTTTGCAGTCATTACTAGCTTATTTTTTACTTACCTGTTGTTATTATTACTTTCGCTTATAGGAAGCTTTCTGATATCTTATGGATCAAGGAGAGAAGTAACGCAGCTTAAAACTGATCATAATGTTGCAGATGTATTCAGTGATTATCTTACCTAAACATACTGTTACTCTTTGCTACCTGCTCTTCTCTCAAAAACCCCGTCTTGTTTACTTTGACAGTTTTTGTATTCATCGACTTTCTCCTTTGGTGGTGGTGTGAAGTGGTATCTTGGTCTAAAGCGATATTCGTTACCATGATATTTTACGTTAACTTGTTATAAAATGCTCAAATTATTTCTGACAAAGTGATCCGGGAAGATGATTATATTACAAATCATTACTATAGGATATTACCTGACGTGAGCAACAAAAGTGAAAATTCGAATCAGAAACGATTTTTCAAGTTTTAGAATTGTTTCAAAACAATCAGTTGAGAATGTGAATTTACGCTGTCACACCTCCGGTACATACTAAAAACTTTGGCAAGCGATATTCAAAGAAACTACCGCTAGTGTCTCTTAATTCTATTGAATACTGTTTGATTTGTGTTGAGTAACATCAGAGTTCAGTATCACAAAAAGCTGCAAATACATTAGGTAAACGTAATACTTATTTCATCTGAGAATATTAGAGAGCTCAGATACACAGAATTGCCAAACAAACTGAGTGACAAATTGACGTAAAAATTTTAATAATGAGCCACGTAGACGTGAGGAGAGCAAAGTTTACCACAGACTGCCAACCATATACAGATATGACATAATAACTGAGGGTTGTTTTGACTGTCAAGTCATCAGAGCACAAGAAATGCAAACCACATTACAAGGCTCTGCTGCTTTATCCCTATTTGTTGTGAAGACTTTCAATTAGTCCTAAGATATAAAAGAACAGCCAACATAAAACAGTTAATTACATATTTGGTGATTAAATCGACTTTTGATCTTTGGTGAAACATCTTGCTGCTAAATCTCCACTAATATTGTTTATTTAAGAATATGTTAGCTTATTGTCAAGACCTTCATCCATAAAGTAGGTTTGCTTATAGGCTAATTACATTTTCAATTTTTCATTAAGACTGCAGCATATGTAAGTGGATAAAATAACTTGTATACCGTTAACGTAACACTTCAATAAGTAGATGAATGGAAATGTCGATGTTTACTTACCTCAGTTATCGCACGTGCCATCGCTTCAGCGTTAGTAGGTGGCGCAGTACCGGTTTCGAAATAGTTTAACCTGTCTTCGATTTGTTGCTTTAAATGCTTGCCATATATATCACAAAGTACTTCGCTGAAGCAATCTATTCGAGACGCTATAGCACATTTCGCGGCTAAGAACCTTGATATTCTTCCTTTGTTCTCCTTAGAAGCACGAGTGATGAAAGGACTATGATAAATCAAACCATATTTCGGTGTAGAGCCATGGGTTTTTAAGGCCCTGAATAACGCTTTTTCTGCCCCTAGTACCTGAATAGTCGAGGCAGGAAATTTAGCCAAATTCGTAAGAGACCCTGCGTGGGCAATAAGCCTTGCGCTAACTCTGTCACCAATCATCGTGCTAAGGTTCGGAGCTACTCCAACAAGCTTTTTGGCTAAATAGTCTTGAGTCAATCTTCTGCGTTCAATGAGCGACGTGATCTTTTCAGTGAAGGTTGCTAAATTTTCAGCATCATCATCCGTAATATCAAAACCTATAGAAGGAGTTATGTAAATTATGTTAACGTACCAACAGAGGATTTAGCAGATTCAATAATATCAGAAGCAACTTGAGTATCGGTCAGAGCTGTAAGGCCTCAAGATTTTCTTCAGATGCACCATCACGGGTACGAATTAAACGCACCACTTTAACGAAAGTTGCATTATCAGGAACAATTTTTGTCAATTCCGGGAAGTGATACGAAAACCACTCTTTGACTCTCATACAAAAATTGTTCACATCCTTATCCAACTGATCCAATAAATTTATTGAGTGGATTATCATATTGTCATTCCTAAGCAAACATCAGAAAATACTGAACAAACCTGTAGATATTGAATTTCACTTTGGCTCTAGAGTAACTGTGCCCAAGACCAATTTGCGCTTTTGATTCATCAAAATGAGACAACACATTGATATATTTAGGGAAGTAGACTCGGAGTGCCCTGTAAACTTCATGTAGAAGGGATTCAGACGAACAAGTAATATTTTCTGGTAGTCCTATTTCGGGATCTTTGATAGACTCAGCTAGTTTGCGGTCTGCAACACAAAGTAATACATTCGAAGAAGATGGCAAATTTTCTTCAATGAATGCTTTAAGTTCAATCGGAACAATGCCTTCTGATATCCCGTTACAATTTTGCAGCGCGCTAGCTGATGAGGTAAACGGTGCAAATGCGTGCAATTTGAAGGCATTTAGGAACTCTTCTTCATTGTTTAACAACTCTTGAGCAAGTTGGTTCAATGCTTCTACGGAGTTTGAAGATTCTCCCGATTTTACTTTGACTCGGAACAACGCATACCCCAAGGCATGCTCATAAAGAATGAATACTTTCTGCAGAATGAAACAAAAGAATGACATTCTTCGTATAAGTAAAAATTAAGACAAGGCACATTTACTTTTTCAACGAATCGCCACATTCAAAGCTTTAACACAATAATTCCCACCAATTTGGTTTGTGACTGTACGGTTTCTATCTCACGGAAAATAATTTATACACTCCATGATGAAACATTTCGACTATTGGAGATCTGATCAGCTACATAGTGCATTTCAAGTGTTGACAGAAATAATGCGATCTGTCATAAGACCACTCAATATTAAAAAGGTTATACTCTCATTATCATTGAGTCGGTGCAGAGATATCACAAGAACAAAATAACATCATTTAGGACATGATTAGGCACCTGAAGTGTTTCAATGACAGCGAGAACGCCAGCTAATTTCAACTATCTTCAGAGCAACATAGGATTCACACTTATAACGCTTACGTTATTCACTGTCACTAAGGTCCAAACGTTCAACCTGCACTACATTTCTATGCTCTTTTACTGCATCGCTCAGTAAACTTATACAGCAAATGCGCGTAAAGAAAACATTGCCAATCTTAGTTGGAACGTGAAACTTGCATTTCAGTATTTCGCCAACCCAATAAATAGAAATTAACCACGGTATACGTCTACAGTTCACTCAGAGACTGTAACGGAGTATTTGCAGGACACTATCTTGCGTTGGTATGTATATATCAGGGCTTAGTGCTCGAAACGTAAACTTTCACTGGGGAATCAAAAGTCCTAACCTATTACCATTTGTAATTGAATCTCCTATATACGATTTGACGGGAGTTGCGGAGCACATGACATAATACTCCTCTTTCGTACTGAAAATCATTAGAAAGGTGAACCACTTACATGTCAAGATAACAAAAACTAGTAGTAACATATGGACTCAGCGGTTGTGAACTACCTCACACAGACTAAAAGTATCAGCATGCACGTACCGTCATTAGTTTGAATTGCCCCAACACTAAATCATCAGTGTTAAACAGTTTATTGGTATTAAAGAATGAATGGAAACCTTAACTACTGAATTTGCTGAGTGACGAGGTATTCTTATAGATGAATAGTCAAAGACTCTGGGAATTAACACGGAACATCGAGTATCTCAATAATTAACGAAAATCAAACTTGCATGTGAAAATGTTTCAAATAGCTTTTATATGGATAAAACGCTTTGAGTTTATTGTGCATTTTTCCTGGCTGCGAAGATAGGGAGAGGATAAATGGGTTCAGGAGCATGTGTTTCATCAAGACGGACACCGAATGTACGAGATAGTCTAAGAGTATTTTAGGGGAATCTAAAGGTTGCACTTCATGTAAGCGTTCTCAAAGCCTAGTGGAGTGTCTCAAAATGAAGTGAGAAGGGATGAACCGTTAGGAAGTTAAATGTTTATAATGTTTATCTCAGATAAGCTATATTGTAAGGTATTGTCCGGCACAATATAGGAGCAAGGAAGATCAATGTTAGGTGCGCCATCACACTATAACATTTGCAGAATGGTGATAAATGGGCACGTTCGGTAGCACTTTTCGGTCATAGGAATAATTCTCAGAGGGCATATTTCGGTCCATCACCAATGAAATTTTCTGGCCTAAAGAGGTGTTTCGAAGCGAATGCTGTCCTAGGTAGCTTGTCAGATACGTCCCCTGTTTTCAAAAAGATAGTTAAGAGGTTGAGCATTCAGGGAAATGACTCTAAGCCGGTGACGACAAGTGAAGGCTCACAGCACGACTGTGTTGGAATGATTCTGGCACCATTTTCCCTAGATAGAAGGGGTTCTTTGAAAATAGGCGGTGTGTTAACAATACTTCACTTACCATTACCTACCGGACAACACCCCACAGAGGGGCATTTATGGGGATTTGAACATCTGAAGGATATTGTGCTGTCACGTTTGGAGGATGGTACAGTCAGTTTTCTTCTCGGTAGTGATGTTTCAGACCCACATTAGGTTCTAGAACAACGGTTTGGGGGGAGGAAGCAACCGTTTGCTATTACAACAATTTTAGGCCGGATTATGAGGCCCAAAACTTCGTGTGAGATGGCACCTAAGGTTTTATGCTGCCACATTTCTCAGAACCAAGAAGTACTAAAATATTTTCAAGGGTTATGTGGTAATGAATTTAAGGACAAGGATGGTCTAGGAGGGGAATATTCTGAGGGAGACAAAGAGCACCGAACGTGGCTGCTCATTCCCCCAGACTTGTCGATAGTCACTTTGGGGTAGGATTACTACGGAAGAATTATCTTCCTAATCTGCCAGGCAACTTCATAATAGTGAGTCACAGATTTGACTGTCTTGAAATATGTCTATCTCAAGACTGTAGCCTATGGGAGAGACATAAAGAAGTTACGGTGAGGCTTTCATTGTTAGTCTGGAAGGAATGTGTATGCTAGTCTGGAAGGAATACAGAGGTATATACCTCATCATCCGGTAATGAATCCGAAAAAGCCTGAAAAGCCTCACTCAACTTCAACTTGGCGACTAGACACAGTGGTACATCTTTGAATGATCAGTTGTTACATGGACCGAATATCGCCAACAGTTGAGATGGGATACTTTCGCATCTCCAAGTTGGTGTTATAGCGACTTTCACTGACACAGAAAAAATTTTTCAGGTGAAGATTCCAAAACAAGACAGAGGAGCTTTCCATCTGATGCGGTGAAAATGCGGTGACATAAATCAAAGGGCTCCTGAGTATAAATCAATTGTTCATCCAGTCAGTACCTTGTCATTTATCGGTGCTAAATATGCCTTGCCAAAGACTGCTGAGTACTCGGGTAGCGAGAGATCAAGTAAAGTTCCCAGACTTATCGAAAGGCGTGTATGTGTGGATTGCTACTTAACATAAATGGATAACCTTGAACAGGCTCTTTCCTAGTAGGACAGACTAGGTCTGCTATTGCGAAAAGATTTTATAGACTGATAAGGCGAATCAGCAAATCTGTGCAAGTAGTAGAGTCTATATTGTCAGAAAAAGTTAAGCCAATAGTGGCAGAAATAGGCTATAAAACATCATTATTTATATATACCGTGTCATCACCCAAGGCTTTGGCTAGTAATAACCCAAAATCCTCGAAAATTCCACTGTCACCATACCAGGAATCTGTACAACATCATATACAAGCAGTATCCATGATGTAAAATGGTTTAAAATGGCTTTCTACAAGTTAATCAACTCACTCGTACAGAGGGCGAGGATAAACCTCATCGCCTTTTAAATTTACCTCGCTTCTGGTTTTCTCATCTTTCATTGGCCAGAATAGTGGCGGTCAATCGGATATTTGATTTGTTGCAGATAGGTGCTGTCGTGTGCGGTTTTGTTTGGGTGTGTTGTGCGTGGTTTGCAAGAAACTGTGATGAATACGGGGGTAACATCTAAATATTCTAACTTTTTTTCAACGTTTTTCCTACAGAAGCAATTCCCCTTTCGGTGTACACTCGCTTGGGAATGGTTAGCCATTATAGTGGTGTCAATGCAGTTGAAGATTGAACGATCAATTCTTGGTTGTTTGCTCAAAACCAACTTCCCCAATTTTCGCGGAGGCATCAATACGACAGTCATCGTCTCATCGGTCGCTGTTCAGAAAGAAGTCAGCAGTAAACCATCAGAAGTAATCTTGTGATTTATTATTGTAATATTTGTTCACAGACCTTAGTTCAAATATTATTTTTATATGTTGGTGTAACAATAAAGAATCCACGAGTCGCCAATTGGTCTTTTGGTTTTTTCGTCCGTTATAACTAAGCGTTTCTGAAAAACTTCAAGGAACAGCGTGGGCCCGAGCGTAGCAAGAGCTGGGCATTAACGGTTTATGAGACGTGGCTGACAGTTTCTGATGGTAGAAACAGATCTGGCGGATTCAGACAGTTGGTGAAAGTTTGGATAGTCACCGTTCATCTTTCCTGGTGCCGGTCAAGTCCTCTTTGAACAAGCAATATCTGGAACATTTTTGGAATTGGGTCAAGTTCAACAATGCCTGGGTCAAAGAAGGGACAGAGTGTCTTGGATGCAAACAGGAAAGTAAGTCATGGTGACTTGTCTGTTAATTGTAACGATGTGTCTGATGTTAAGCATGACATGGTTGATGTTACTGTTTCGCCGTTCAGGGATAATAGGAACATCAAACTCCCTAAATTTGAACCACGGTGTTTTGATGGAAACCCAGCTGATTATTTACAATTTGTAAAGGAGTTTGAGATCATGTTGAGTGGTTTTCTATTAAGTGATGAATTGAAGTTAATGTATTTGATGAGATATTGCACTGGAGATGCTGCAAGAGCTATACAGTGCTGTAAGTTTATGAAGCCAAAAGAGGGCTACGATGAGGCTATGAGCATATTACGTCAAAGGTTTGGAAGACCTTCGATGATTGCAGGGAAATTATTCGAGGCTGTTAAGGGTAATGGTGGTCAATTACAGGATGACTCCCAGGCACTCACTGAGTTTTTAGATAATTTGCTAATTTACAAGAATGCAATGATTTCGATGAATCGCATGAGTGACCTCAACTCGAGTTTTATACTAGAAGTAATAGCAAGACGCCTACCTACTCGACTGCAAAGGAAGTGGGTGAAGATAAGCTCCCGTATGGAGGATGAGGGTATCGAGCCAAAGTTTGATGATATCCTGAAACTGGTAAATACTAGTGTCAATCAATCTATGAGCAAGTTTGCCAGTCTATTACATCTCACCCCTAGAATAGAGCAGTCTGAGGGTAAAACGCAATCATTGATGACGAAAGGGCCTCAGAGAGGTGGATATCGAGAAGGCTCCATGATGTCTAGTAATGCATATAGACCTAGTGAGTGTAACAGGTTTCGTAGTACATCCTCAACAGATAAGTTACAAGATGCAAGACAAACACGGTTGTGTTTTACACGTGTGCAAGAGGTGCATACAAAGATGAACTGTGAACCAGTGAGCAAGTTCAGTGATAAGCTAAATGTAAACTCCAGGCCTGACTCCGAATTGTGTGACGATAACGGTGCGGTGAAGAAGTCTGTAGTTGCAACTGGTAAGCCATTGTTGAATAGAGTGTCACAGAATAGAGTTACTGCTTCAGAGTGCAGTTCTGACTCCACAAGTTTACAAAGTATAACTAGTCAGAGTGAAGATATAAAACCTTTAATGATTTGTGAGGAGGAACCAAAATTGTCTACTTCTGTTAATAAGGAGTTTGAAAATGATGAACTTGACGGTAAAGTGAATATTCATGATAATGATCATGATACTTCACATTTGTCTTTGGTTGATCATGATGAAATGAGGGATATGCCTACTACTGCTAAGTTAAATAAAGGTTCTGTACAACTACAACGTGAAGTAGAATTGAACGCAGATGCAGTTCCAGAAGGTGTGCATACTTGTGAGACAGTCAGTGTAATTGATCAGCGTGTAGCCCACCTATCATCAGATGATAGTGCTAAACCCGAACTAGTAGTGAAAGACAGCAGTGGTGGTAATCTTGCAGTTGGACAACTATCTGAAAGCCGAACAACAACAGCTTCTGATCCATCGCTAAGTTCATCACCTTGTGTCACTCAGTCATCGTTGGTGTTTTCATCCACAATGAAATGGACATCCATGAACTCACGTGCCTTATGCAATGACTATGATAGTATTGGTGCGTTTGAAAAGACGAAAGATATTGCTCAGTTTAGTGAGAATAAGCCAAGTGTAAACGAGAGAGTAATTGTTAAATTGACTTGCACGAATAAAGGCATTTCTAGTTTCAAGTTACTAATTGAATGTTATTATCTTTGGTGTAAATTACTCTGTTTCTACACTTGGTTGATGAGATATGTCGTGTGTTTGTTGGTCATCTATATTCTACGATACAATGACATGGGCGTGTTGCCGTTCAGATTTGAGGATATAGCTCATAGAAGGAAGTTAGCAAATGAACTCTGCGACGATTTTCCAACCTAGAGCGTCAACCTG